AGAGGCCATGAAATCCGAGATGGACTCCATGTCTTAAAATCAAGTCTAGGACTTGGTGAATTTGCCCAAGGGTTATACACCCATTGGTTGCAAATGGATCTTCAAAGTGAAGACAGACAAAGGATGGAAATGTATCAATATACAAAGCTAGACTGGTGGCAAAAGGTTATAGACAAGTCCACGGGATTGACTATGACGAAACATTTTCACCAGTTGCAATGCTAAAATCCGTCCGGATCATCCTAGCAATTGCTGCATATTACGATTACGAAATATGGCAAATGGATGTCAAAACCGCCTTCCTTAATGGGATTTTGGAAGAAACTGTGTATATGACACAGCCAGAAGGTTTTGTCGATCCAGGCAACGCTGGAAAGGTTTGCAAGCTGAAGAAGTCCATTTATGGACTAAAGCAAGCCAGCAGAAGTTGGAATCTGCGATTTGATGAAGCCATTAGCAAGTTTGGTTTTATCAAGAATCCAGATGAGTCTTGTGTATACAAGAAGGTCAGTGGGAGTGATATTTCATTCCTAGTCCTGTATGTCGATGACATACTGCTCATTGGAAACAGCACAAAATTATTGGAGTCCGTAAAGGGCTGGTTGGGAAAGTGCTTTCAATGAACGACTTAGGAGAGGCACAGTACATATTGGGCATCAAGATATACAGGGATAGATCTAAGAGGATGATTGGATTAAGCCAGAGTACTTACATTGATAAGGTACTGGCTCGATTCAACATGGAAAATGCCAAAAGAGGGCATTTACCCATGTCCCATGGCATAACTCTCAGCAAGAAACAGTGTCCGCAGACACCTGTTGAGCGAGAAAGAATGAATCAGATCCCATATGCTTCGCTAATCGGATCAATCATGTATGTCATGATATGTACAAGGCCAGATGTATCGTATGCCCTGAGTGCAACGAGTCGATACCAATCGAACCTAGGAGAGGCGCATTGGACTGCGGCCAAGAACATCCTTAAGTACCTAAAAAGGAACACGGATAAATTCCTGGTGTATGGAGGCCACAAAGAACTGGTTGTTGAAGGTTACACCGACGCTAGCTTCCAGACTGACAGAGACGACTTCAAGTCACAGTCGGGGTATATATTCTGTCTTAATGGAGGAGCGTTTAGCTGGAAGAGTGCCAAGCAGAGCACCACTGCAGACTCTACAACTGAAGCCGAGTACTTGGCCGCTTCAGAAGCTGCCAAGGAAGCTGTTTGGATTCGCAAGTTCATTAGCGAACTTGGTGTTGTACCCTCAATCAAGGGGCCGATAGACCTCTATTGTGATAACAATGGAGCTATCGCTCAGGCCAGGGAGCCGAGAGAACACCAGAAGGTCAAACACATGCAAAGGCGATTTCACATGATAAGGGAATGGAAATCCGAAGGTGAAATCAGAATTTGTAAGATCGGAACGGATGACAATGTAGCCGATTCTTTGACTAAACCTTTGCCTCAAGTGAAACACAACAAGCACATTGAGGCAATGGGAATCAATCATGTTGGAGACTGGCTTTGAAATTCCCTGTACATGTGTTTTAATTAAATAGGATATTTAATGTAAGACACTGTATTAAAACCATTCATTAATGGAGTAGTTAATTTTGTGCAAAATTATCATTCACTCCATTACTATTTAATTGTGGTTTAGAATTAAATAATGAGTCCATTCGATTTGCGAAAATATTCAAAACAGGGTATCAAGACCATGTCTTGGATAAAGAAACACCTGTTAAGTGAACATTGAATATTAAATCAAAAAGTGTCCCTAATCGAGGTCATCTAACAAATGGACGATTGATGACCACCATAGATTAGTGTGTAGTATGATTTACAGCACCGTTTCTTGTGCTGCGAGGACGTGACGGTCATAAATCATTTGCACAGGTACAGTTTAGAACTGTACTGGATAAGACCTATGAGAGTACTTTAAGAAAATCATTTGCACAGGTACATTTCTCATTATGACTATCGGAACTTGTTTCCTCCGACCATGAGTACTGTGAAGTTTTCTTGTTTGAGCACTAGACTCTTTGATGTTTCCAAACGTCTGCCGTAACTGGGGATCATAACGGGAACACTCGGGAGACTATGTCCTCTTAGTAAGAAGAACTTACAATACAAGATTGGGATTGTCCCCTACTAACAATAGGGAAAATGTTTTGTTGTTTACAAGGCCGCTCAAAGAGTGAGACTGTGAAAATGCATGGCCATGCTCAGACGAATTAATCCGAAAGGATTTAATGAGTCGACAGAGTTTTACGAATACAGACGTCGGAAATCGAGCCTAGGGCGTCGAGACCGAGCGTCGCAAAATCACAAGCAACAAGTATGAGCGTAGCCGTAGCTAGGCTAGGCTAGCTCATCGCAAGCCTAGGCGCACCATGTGTGTGCTAGGCGCACCATGGTGTGCTAGACACTATCGCAGCCTAGGCGCGCCCTGGCAGCCCATCAGCATGGGTGCCTAGGTGCGCATGGCTGCTATCGCAAGCCCCACAAGCACCAGGCAGCCCATCGCAGCTAGCAGCGTGCTAGCCTGGGTGCCTGGGTGCGTGTGAGGACTATCGCACCAAGCACAGCACCCAAGTGCATGTGCGTAAGTGTGAGCACCATCGCAGCCCCCTAGCACCACGCACAGCACCATCGTTGTGCTAGGCACATGCGTGTGTGCGTGTGCACCATAGCACAGCAAGCTGGCAGGCAGCGCTGGCCTTACATGAGTGCTAGGCACCATCGCAGGCCACGCACCAAGCACAGCTAGCTGGCAGGCAGCGCTGGCCTTGCGTGAGTGCTGGGCACCATCGCAGGCCACGCACCAAGCACAGCGCTAGTGCGTGCTGGTTTGGATGCACGTAGCTGTGCGAGCATGGGCGAGTAGTGCTGGCGTGTTAGGTGCCATGCGAATGCTGGTGCGTGTGTGCGTGCCTCGCACCAAGCATAGCAGTGCTAGGCACTGGCTGATGCGTGTGCGAGGGATGCATGGTGCGCAACGTGGATGGTGCGAAGGAAGGGGCCAGCATGCGTGGCTCGCTAGCAGCACGCATGCTGGCTGTGCTAGCAATAGGATGCGAGAGAGATGCGTGTGCGTGTGATAGGCAGTGCTGGGCAGCCAGCAGCACCAGCGCCTAGCACAGCCTAGCACCAGGCATGCGAGGCTGCTGGGCAGGGACATGCTAGCTAGTTGGGCTGGCCAGCACCATGCTAGCTGGCGTGCTAGCTAGCAGCAGCCCAGCACCCCTCTTAGGTGAGGCGGTTTTGTGAGGGTGGGGACCAAGGCTTTGGGAAAGCCTTGGGGAGCAAGGCAATGGTCCCCCCCCACCCCTCCATGGTCCTCGCCTAACCTTATCTCTCCATTTGACACTTGTTGCATTGTGATTAGATTTATGTATTAATTTATTTTAGAAATAAATTAATTAGCAAAATATACATTCTCCCACATTGGTTGGGGAATGAAATACAAGGGTTCATTTCCCTATAAATACCAAGCTTGGGTATTGGGAATGAACAACGTTGAGTGGAATTTAAAAGGCAACTCTAAGAAAAGAGTAAACCTTTGATTCGTAAAACTCATAGTTATTTTGTCCGGGTCTTGACTAACCTTCAAGACTTAGGACGCTCGGGTCGGGTCGAGGGTACGATTCGTCGGAGATCTCGTCTTTTCGGGATTTTGAAGTAAGAGCTCTTTGGGAGCGAAGCACGCGTCGAAGGTATAATTCTTGTTCTTAATCTTGTTTGATTAAGTTTATTATGCTTGTTTAATTGCTTTAATTAAGGGGCGGGTCTTGGTGGGTTTCCTTCCGCGTAGTGTCGGGTCACTGCAAAACCCTACACTTCTCTTTTCTTAGTCTCCATTTCTTATTTTTTGCCTAGGAGTCCGTATCAACTCCAAAGTTGCAAAAACTGTGAAACAGAGGTAGTAGATAAACTAAGAGAAAATACGAAGGAGGCGCCGGTGGTGGGGCGGGGGTGGCTAGGGTTAGTTTTAGGTTTTTTTTTAATTTTCTTTTTTCAACCATTAAGATGACGACACGTGTCATTCGAGACCCCACTTAACGGATTCTTGGACGGAATCAATTAAGTGGTGGTAATATCCAAAATTTTAAATTTTTTTCTGGTGTTAAAATAAACTCTTTTTTTTTGTAATGTTAAAATCCATTTTTGAGTTATTCTGGTGTTAAAATTCAAAATTTCCTAAAATTAATGTCGGTAATTGTAGTCTAAAAAAAATGTCGGTAATTAAATAAATTCAAGATTGGAATGAGTAATAAAATAATAGTATTAGATTAATTAAGGTATATATGGTTAATTAACATTTTTAGTAGCAATTAAATAAAAATAATAAAAAAATAATAAAAACGCAAAGTCCCTAGAGTTTGATCCAGTATTCACCCAAAGTCCCTAATGTTTGGTCTACTCAGCAAGAAATTCCAAAAAAAAATAATCAAGGTCTCAAATGTTTGGTACAATCGGCATCTAAGGTCCCCAATATTTGGTCCATTCAGTAAAGTAACCACCCAAAGTGATGGTAAAGGGACCAAAACCAAACTTTTATAACGTTAGGGACTAAAACCAAACTTTTGCCAAATGTTAGGAACTCATTTTATATTACTCCCCGTGCTACTGGGCTAGTGCATGAAATATATGTTTAGAAACATAAAACTGCACCCTTTTTTTTGGCATTTTATGTGAGGAAAGTGATTCAATTTCAAATGAAAGTGTTCATTTTTTTTTTTTTTAATGTACATCAATAATTGTAGGAATAGAACGCCACCATCTATAAGTGCTTGCCTGCTTTCCGTGCTTGGGAATAAGGGATTCTCTTACATTCTCCTTTTACTCTCATGATTTATGCACCATTGTAACAGGCTAAGGGTATTGGTTCAGTTATCCCCCCACCCCACCCCAGGCCCCCATCTGTGGCTGTGTATGCTCTTTTCCAACAGTCGAACAAGAAAAAGGGAACAATCAAACATCTGTGGTTGTGCATACTCTTTTCCAACAGTCGAAACTCGAAAGTATGATTCAAACACAAATCTAGCCAGTTAGCAGCACAATAGAGTCGATACAGCCAAATCATGCAAGCTACAAAAATTAAACAAGGGGGGAGAAAAACAAGTGTTTCTGCCCATCTGAAAAGTTTAGCAACAAATCCAACTACGAAGTGTCTCAGAATAAATTTCAGCTAGTGCCAAATAATACAACTATTCAACCTCAGCGTCGGGTGTCTCAACTTCAGCTTGCTCTTTCTCGGCCTCAGCCACCTCCTTCTCGCTCTTACGTCCCTTCTTGGATTTGTAGTATACACTCATGAAGGTTCCAATTGCTCCATATTTCCTCCTTGCCTTCTCATAAAGTGAGGCATCAAACATCCTCCAGAAGTCCTTCTCATTTAGCTCAGAGACAGCGTATTGTGGCTGGAATCCATGGTTTTCAATCAACCACTTCTCCAACTTACGGACAGCCTCGGCACCATTGAACACCTCACCACGCAGAATAGGTCCTGGTGCATAGTAGACACCAACATCAGTGAACATCTGAGCATATGAAGTGTCACCCTGTCTCTTGTGCTGCTCGAAGCCTGGTTCAGGATATATCATGGTTTTGACGGGCAGCCTAAACAGACGATGTGGGCAGAGCCAAAGAGGGTAAACCTACAGAGAAGCAGCATTAAATTTCCAGTTAGCAGATGATTATAAAGAAGTGTTGAAAATCCCCAGGATAAACAAAGGAATAAAAATAATAGCAATGGAAAAGGGCAAAGTGACTTTACCTCCATTTCACGATGGACCCATTGAAGAGCATCTCCAACCTTGTATAGAGGAACAAGCATGTCCTGAATCACATGGTTCTCATGGTAATAGTTTCTGATGGCTTCACCTTGAGTAGCTTTAAGAAGGGAAACCTTTGGTGGCATCAACCATCCAAGAAGGAATCTAAACCACGCTTGATCACCAAATGGAATGATAAGCTTTCCTTCCCAGTACAGAGATCTTGTATGTCGGTGATAATATTCCCTGGTAGGAATGTACTCCAAAAACTCCCCTCGTTCAAGGGCTGTCTGAGCATGCTGATAGAACCAGGGTTTAAACCACCATCCACAGCTATTGATCACATTTCCCTTCTTCTTGGCCTCTTCTTTGGAAGCATATCTACCTGTCATCATCACACCTTCAGAAGGATTGTCTTGGCCTCTTCTTTGGAAGCATATCTACCTGTCATCATCACACCTTCAGAAGGATTGTAAATCATGCCTTCCACAAAATCAGTGACCTTTTCGGGATTGTCTTGATCTCCATCTTTTGGTGCAAAAGAATCAATATAACCCTGGGCAAGATATTTCAAACTACCTTTCACAGGATTGTATGTCAGCCTCATGTACTCCTTTATTGGAATAAGCTTAATTTCAGCAGAAACAAGCAATCCTAGAGTACCCTGAGACCATGGAATAGCATAAAAAAGCTCGGAAAACTCATTGTCCTTGGTGGCTCTGACAACCCGTCCATCAGCCAGAACTACCTCATAAGCCACGACTGTGTCAGCAAATAGGCCATAAATATGTGTTATTCAAAATGGTAGGAATTTAGAAGATAACAAACAGCTGAGCCATGTGGCAGCTCAACACAAACAGAACATTTAGTTCAGAAAGGAGCATAATTTACCCCAAACCAGTAAAAAGAAAAAACAATTTTTTCTTTGCCTTAATACCACAGTAGAAAAATAAAATCAGCTTAACTCTACAACAATTTCAGATCTGCTGACTGTAGTTTTACAAGTATGAAATACATCGAGCATCATATAACAAACTACAGAGCTAGTTAAACCGAAGACCTACTTGTATATTATTACCATTTATTAATGCCAATGGAACATCTGATAATTCACAAATGACTGATGGATCTTGTCAAAAGAGCAAAGAGGACAACCCAAATCACAAGTCAAAGCGATTAAGGAATGCGAAAATGATAATAACAAGGACAATACAGTGATTTGAATCCATAAATCTTCAACCAAAAGAGCATCAAACCACAACCATGCATCCCTTGTCTACAAAGAAAAGGGAGCAAATCAATGACATCTTATTTCAAAATCTTCAAGATAAACCCTTTTTATCCTCTCACCTTGTTAGCCCAAATTTCCCCGGCTATAACTACAAGGACCTAACATCTCTTTTAATCAAATCAAAGCCATAACATCAACGAAAACTACTCTACAGATGACAACTAGCTTAATTGGTCAAAGTATCGTGGCAACCTAAGATCAAATCTCATCAACATCAGTACATCACTATCCTTTGCGACTCCCTATACACCAAATGTAGTTATACTCCTTAGATGAAATCCTGTCAAATTACAATATAGTTGTACCAAATAAAAGCACAAGTCCCCAGATTTATTGTAGTAATCAAAATGCCTTTGTCTGTTAATTACGAGTACAAATCATGTTGAAAACTGGACAGAATTAGGGAAAAAAGCAGCAAACCAAAATCCCAAATATAAAAATAAAATAATCTACAAGTAATTAATACAAAAAAAGGTACCCATGACTGCAAAAACAAAAGAAATGATATAATTAATGTGAAAAGTAGAAAATGTGCATGCAAAACAACATCATAGATCCATGATCCTGTACACAAAAAGCAACCATTATAGTACATATAAATTCAATCTAAACCCTAAAAAATGTCTTACAAACACTCGAATATTCCCCCAAAAAAATGCAAAAAAAATTAGAAAAAAAAAAACAGCAGAATCAGAGAGAAAACCCAGATCAAATTAAGCATGAAAACAAAATTCAATAGAATAAACAAATCAATAATGTAGTAATAAAATACGCATTCTTTTCAGGTGAATATGTTTCAGCGCACACTTGCAGGCATTAAGGAATTGACGATCATCAGTTGTTCGTTTCAGGAGCGTATGCTTCTGTGCACACTTGCAGGCCTTAGGGAGAGCGTATGTTTCAGCGGACACTTACAGGCATTATGGAATTGACGATTTCAGTTAATAACACAAAACCATATACCCAAGCTAATTATGGAAAGCTCAGTAAGATTACTGTTGTAAGTTTGTAAATTTTCAAGTTGAAAAAGAAAAACCAAAATTATTCATTTTGTGGCAGATAAACGAGCATATATTCACAGATAAAACCAATTTGACAATTTCTCATTTCTTGGAACAAAAAGGCCCTGTTTTCAGGTGGTACAAAAAGAGCATACACTCATAACTTAAGTCGTATTCCCTCAGATAAGTTCTATAGCTAATGAAGTAATCATGTTTGCTGCATTTTCTTCCTTAATTCCCCAAGAGGCCCATAACCCACACCATTTGTCTCCTGTTTGCTACAACTGCAGACACCGGTATTCAAATTCGTACCACAATTTAGACACAGGCCTTTGCATTTGGGATCACATACTGCATTAATGGTGATCTCTAGATGTACCATGTCTCTGATGTGCTTGGAAATGTCAATTTCTTTTCTCTCTGGGGGAAAATGAAGCCTATCCTCCAGATCAATTAATGCGTCATCATCATCTTCTTCCTCATTAACAGTTCCAGCAGAACTCTTCAACTTATCTTCACCAAACATAAATCCCATGTTTATGACCTCCGGCTCCTCGACAGGTTCCTCAGTTAACAATAGAGAGAAGTTGGAAAATACACTTTCAGCAGCTGGTCCACCACACCTTAAAAAAAATCATTTGAGAAATAAGATTTGGTTACCTAGAATTGGCTGAAAGTGTACAATATGAATACATGATAACCTTCTGATATAATTGTGAGTAGATGTGCATAAGCTCCATGCTCAAGTATACATTTGCCATCAGAACCAAGCAATCAATTGTGACTGAGTGTGATTATATTCCGTTTACTATGAATTTGAAAGACAAGTACACTCTACAGCCAACCTATCCTCTTGAAAACAAATAAAGCTGCCACTTTATCAGGCTCTTGCATATCGAAAGTCCCACCCCACCCCACCCCCCACGCAGTCACCAGAAAGATATATAGCCTACTCTCAGACATTTAAACAATTCAGCTCATTCATGATGCCTAGTAAGCAGTTGCAACACTTGAAACTCCAATGCAGAATACAGCTTTTATACACACTATGAACCTCACCCCAGGAAGAGATAGGCCATGTACTGGACCTCAAAATCTAAGAATGCAGCTACTTACCGAGTTACTGCTGCAGTACAAGTTTTCAATCTTACAGATCAACGCAAGGACCTTTTTTTACTATCTATTTAGCCATGTTTATTGTAGTCAGATTTTAACAGGTGGGAATAACATGAGACAGTACTCACAACAGTTTGCTAGATTAGAGCTGCAAAATAAATTGTAAAAAAAGATAGATGAATCAAGTACCTGTTGCAAGCAAGGGAGAGAACTGTTCTTATGATGCCATCAAGCCTTAATTTATGCTTTTTTCGGGTAACATCAACAGAAATAAGTACAGGTGTTCCATCTGTAAAATCCTTTACAGCTTTAGTCACTCGTAATCCCATTGATGATGCAGTAGACCTTGACAATTCCGATGAAATTTTGCCTAAACCAAGTCTTTCTAAAGTAGTGCAGTATTCCATGTGAGATGTTGAAGGGTTTCGCCTATAGACAATGGCCCCTTCCCATGGAGATCCATCATCTTCCTCATCACCCCAATCAAACTCAATTGCATTTTCATCATCATCTAATGATGATACCTCGCCATCATCAATTTTCGTAGCCTTTGTAGCTAGGACAACAAATTTGTAAGGCTTTCCAAAGCAAGTACTATTATAAATACCACTTGACATTTTACAACTACATTGAATAAATCCAGACTCAGGGCGCTGAAGAAAAGTGGATTTATTTAACTGAAATCCAATTTTTGCAAGACCACTAGTAACAGGATTTGCACTGGACATAGAGTATACAAGGGACATTGCACCCGATCTTTGTAATAAATCACAGCACATATAGAGTGAAAAATGCTCTATACAGGCAGTATATGGCCAACGGATCCGTTTGGCTTAATGGTGTAGGCAGGTGCTAATTCTGGGAGGGCTAATCTACTTAATGAGACACCTCATACAAAAATTATCTTCGCAGATGCTTGAACTACAAATAATTTGGAACTAATCTGATCTGATCATTCAACTCCTAATTGGATAAGTGAAGCAATAATCGAACACGCAACATCAATGGCGAGCATAAATCTACAAAAGTAAAGAAATTTTTTGTAAAATTCATGACATACTCAGGCCCGTCCCTGAGGCAGGGCATGAGGGGCAGCCGCCCTAGGCCCAGGGAAAAGAGATTTGATTTCATATTGAATTATCTCGAAAAATACATAATTTTAGGGATACTTAATTCAATAATCAAATTACGCTCATAATTTTCTTTTCTTTTGGATATGATGTTTCATAATCTAAGAATTTGCGAACCCTAAACTTAAAGCACTGATAATTAAATTAGATTAGATCAAATATAAACCCTAGATTGTGAAATTGATGTGATGATAACAACAACAAACAACTTACCTTAGAAGCTGCTTCAATGGGGGATACAAGAATTAGATTCAACGGAGAACGCTTCAATGGAGAACGTTGAGTGCGCTTCAATGAAATAACTCAGAGAGGTAGGAAATAGGAATGGAGGCCTTTAAAATCCATGACCCGCCATAGTTATAATATGGGTTAGATCCGTGTAAATTGGATGGGTCTTTATATGATCGTCTAATTATGAGACAACTGGGCTTTATAAAGATTTTATGTAAATATGTTTTAAATATTTTTAAATATTTCCATACACCAAAGCTTGTATCAATTCTTTGTAAGTTTGTAACATTTTAAAAAAAAAAACAAATGAAATTACATTAATTAAACTGAGTTTACAACAAACAAAAGGACAGTAAGTAACATAAGTTACTATTGGCATAAGAAGCCCTTACACAATATCAATTAAGGTCATTAACGATATTTACCTTTTAGTTATTACAACGAGTGAATACAACGCATATAAGGCTTACCAATATACATTTAACCATGCGATGAGACAATTGATAGAACGAGGGAAGTTGATGATGATGTTTCGTGTTGTGCAAGGTATTTTCTAACATACAATTAAAAGTTTATGAATGTTGCTGAAATGACGGAGACAACCCAAAATCAGTATGTCTTACCCTAAGGGACCCCAATAATTCAAATGGATAAAATCCTCTTGAGATCTATGCTTCATACATGTCAATCACATTTCTTTGTGATCTGACAAAACCATATCTTATACTCCCTCCGTCCCATAATAGTTTCTATTGTGTTTTTTTCACGGTATTTAAAAAATGGGAGGAGAAGTGGAAAAGAATTAGACAAAAGTACAAGGCAAGTGGATAATTTAAGGGGAAAAAGGTGAAAAGTCCAATTATAGACAAAAGTTAGAGAGAGAAAGTGAAAAAAGTACAATATAAGTGGATAAGTTAAGGGTAAATTAGGAAGTTCAATGAATAAAGTAAAAAATAAGGGTATAATGGTCTTTACATACTATTCAAAAATAGAAACAGGAACAACATTTTGGGTCTCT